ATTAAAAAATTTGCAACTTATTAAAAAGCTTATATATCAATAATTTAAATTTGATTATATAAAAGCACTTTTCGATTTATTATTTTCCTAGGAAAAGTAATAAAACAAATCATTTATTTCCGGATTTACACAAAATAATGTGTTAACATAATTTTAAAAAATTAATTTATTGGGCTTAGAAAATAACGTCTGTGGATTAAATTTAATTAAAATATAAGATATACACTTAAAAGGACTAAAGTGTTCCAGAATTTGTGCATTTATATTTATTAAGTAATGTAAGTGAAAATCGTATATTTATTTTTACCTGTTGCTCTGTTTTCACTTTTATAATATAGCTTTGTTTTACAGGATGCCTAATATTTATCCATAATTCATATTTAATAATATTACAAGGAGTTTCGATGAAATAAGTTTTACCAAAAATAAAACAGATGTAATTTAGAATACAATGTTTGTATTTTTTTGTGATAAAATAACATGTCTTAATATTTTTTACAATGCAGGCTGTGTAATATATCAAAATTTGTATATTTTGACAATTTAAAATACTTTTCGGAGATTATTTAGTTTATTATAACTATTTTCTTTCCTCAATTATTTATAATAGTAAATTAATCTAAGATCAACAATAAATAATTCCATGAATTTTGGAGTTCTAAGAAATACATCTACATCATTATAAATTGCTTCCAAATGCATGTTTCATTTGAAATCTGTAACAAAATTATTTATTGCTTAACAATTTGAAATAGAAGCAGTGCCAAGTTGGAGTTCTACCTTTGGGAACAGGAAATGATCTGGCACGTGTATTGGGTTGGGGGTCTTCTTGTGATGATGATACTCACTTACCCCAGTTATTAGAAAAGTATGAAAAGGCGGGCACAAAAATGCTTGATCGATGGAGTATTATGACTTTTGAACGTAGCATATCTCTGCCATGTCACAAAACTGCTTTAAGTCGATCTGATACATCCTTAAAGTCCAGTATCGCCCATCAATACGAGAACAATGTTATTACTCATGTAACAAATATTTTACAATCGGATCAGGATAATGTAGATTTATCTAGTATTCAGTAAGTATTTTACAGAAAATATAGTACAGATAAATTATACAACGAAAAATAAATGTTTAAAATAACAAATTTTAAATATTTAATATTTTTATTTGTATTCTAATCCATTTATTAATTATTATTTCATACTTACAAATGACAGTAAATATAGTTCTATTATATCTATAATATAATTTGTACATTACAAAGACTGGTATATCATATTTCACATAATAAAATATATCATCTAAATTATTTTGGTAAAAACTGTTTATTTGCAGAACTTTATGTGACACAGTAAGAGATTTTGCATCACATATACTAGAAAACATAAATTTAAAGGACCAACAAGTGGAAGATAAGTGTAGAGTACTTCAGCACAAGCTTGATTCGTTTTTACAAACATTATGTAACGAAGAAGAATACTTGAACGAACATCCTGAAAGTACGGATAATAATACTTTGAATGCTGATGTATCTCTATCACTTGAGAGTTATGAAAAAGGTGTATTAGAAAAACCAGAAAAAGACATAACGAATTTAAAGAAGGTTCTAAGGAGACGTCTTGTAGAAAAAGAAATTGTAATGTCAAGGTATATTAACATTTAATTACATTGTTGTTATAACTTAAATAAAGTATTAATAGACAAGGAATAATATTAATATTTTTCTTGATTTCACGAAATTATAGAGCAAATAGTTTAAAAAGATTTATAAGACATCTTATAGAATATTCACAATTAACCATAGATGATCACATTAATACACATGTTAAAGATACTTCCAAAACAGCAGATGCAACTGCTGCATCTGATGATACTACATTATTAAATTCTGTATCAAGTAAGTTCTTAATAATCATCTTGCTTAAAAGATCTCTTTTATCGTTTTTTTCAAATTGCTCTTTTTTAAAAATACTTACGACAAAAAACTGTATTATAGATAAAAAACAACAAATGGATATACCTGGTTTAAAAATCGAACATGGTGAAATCTCATCTATAGGACCATTAGTAGAGTCTATAAAAAGTACAGAAGATTCGATATGCACTCTTAGTCCTACTCCGAATGTAGCATCTTTAAGTCCAATACCTGATCTTAGAAGAGATTCTCAACCTGAAGAATTATTGACATTACCTGCTCCCGATGGTTTTGCTGATAGTAGAAGAAACAGTGACAATTTACCTCAAGGGTAAATACATTAATTTTTATTTTGTACATAATTTATTAGTAAAACTTAAAATCACTTTATATGTTGAAGTTACTTGAAACTTAATTAATACTAGTAATACCGAACAATCAAACTGAACGACTTCTATTTTTTTTATAAAGATAACAAAAATGCTTTTGTCGGAAATCGGTTAACGTTTATTATAGTATGTACATGTGCGAAGAAGTTTATTAAATAATTTCCCATAAAAGCAAGTGTATAGTTTCAAAAACTGTAAATAAAAATGTCGAATTAAGTCATTTTGATCTGTCTAGTAATTCTAGTGTTAATATAACTCGTATAAACTTGTTAAAGATTTTTATATGTTATAAAATGTGTATCTATTAATATTTTTTCAGTTCATTTAATTTTTACGAGTTAACAACTCAGTCTATGTCTATATACACTCAACAAGAAACGGAAATTAATATGTCTAATTATCAATATGAGTCTAACAACATTGAAGGTTCTTCAGAGTTTCAAACAAGTGTTACAAGAACGAATTTTGATACAAGTTCACCTTCAGATGATGCTACCATGCAAGATACCATTATTTCTCCTGATACAGATTCAATTCATTCCCGACTTATATCTCCAGAACATGAACCAAAGTTTGAAAATAGAAGTAAAATGGATACAACTAGAGGTAGTTGTAGTAATAGTATTGTTAGTACAGATAGTATGATCTCTGATACTTTGGATTTTAAAAATTATATAATACGAAATAGCGAAAGTGAGATTGGTAAGTATATAAGCGAAATTCTTATCTTTCATACGCAAAAATTTGTATTTATTTTGCATAACAACGATTAGTAGTATTTCAAGTTTATAAAAGTTCTTTTAAATTATGTTTTATGCATTTAACGGATGACTTGTCTTATTTATTTCAGTTCGTATAGGTAGTGACATATTCGATTCTACAAAAAGATCTGATAGTTCTGAAATCGGGCATATTGATTCTCCTGATAATTCAGAAATGTTCACTAGCGAAGTACAAAATTCTGAAAGTTTAATCGATGATTTAAGTTCTCTTGGACAAGATTTAATAAGCACAATGATCGGAGAAAAATATGATTCTGTAAGAGAATGTTTAGAGTCTGAACATATGGAGAAACCACAAAAATATTGCAGTTTAGCTCAATTCGTGGAAGGGAACGATATTGCTAGAAGATCATTTAAAAAGCAAGTAAAAAACTTCACAGTTACAGAAAAAGAGGTAAGCCCAACGAATATGGACTTTATTTTAATATACTTTGAATACAATTTCTTGAAACGTTTAACATTATTTTTATGTGAAAAATATTTAAATATAATTAACATTTTTGTATCAATTTTCTATAGAATAATAAAATTAAGCATACATTAGGATCATCTGAACAATATATAACGGAGAATATTAAACCTAAGGACTCTCAAGATGGTAAAGCATCTGATTTATTAAGTCCTGTTTGCTGTTTTACTGTTTCTTCTGACAATACTCCAACAAATGAAAAACCTAATAATTTTCCACCTACGATAAGTGTTATAATCAATCCTCCGAGTCCATCAATGTCCATTGAAAGTCAACATGATTCAGATGCAGCATTTAAAATGAGTCCATATTTACGACGACATAATGGTGAAAGCATGGAAAAATGTGAGTCATTTGTTTATATTATTCGAATTCATGAAAGTTTTTGTAAAAGAACTAATTGTATTTACTATGTATTTCTTCTGTCTTGCGTTTAAATAATACAAAATTTTTAACTAATTATATTAATAATTAGTAAGCGTAGAACTGCCAGAATCTGGTTTTTCTCCTCAAGCAACTCGTCGAATTAGCAGTGGCAGTTTACTAAAAGCATCAGAAGTTGTTTCTTTAGCTGCTACGGCTGCGCGGCTTGGTGGTTCTAATGCAAGTTTACGCCATGAAAGAGTTAAATCCTTTGATAAAACTGAAGACGTTAAAAAACTTCCAATTATTAATCCGCTAGTTCAGTTGTCTATGTGGCCAAGTAAGTGTATTAAGTTTCATAAAGAGTGTAAAGAACATTATACAGATATTAACAAAGTCTTAATAAAATTGTCTTTTAGTTCTTTTATAAATGATAAATTTAGATGAGTCTAAAATAAAATATTTCAAATTTTTATAGATGTCAGTGGAGGAACAGGTCTGATTAGCCAAGCATTACTAGCAAATGCGGATGCATTATGTGCAGCTGTATCACCATTAATGGACCCAGATGAAACTTTAATGTAAATATGTTTTATTTTATTGAACTTACATTATTTTAGTTGATAAAATGTAAGACTATGCTCTACCTATATAAACACACTGTTTCTGACGAAAATAAATTAAATATGTAGTATTAAATTATAATAATTTAATTAAATTATGTTGTTTCTAGGGAAGGCTATTTTGAACGTTGCGTCATGAATAATTATTTTGGAATTGGCATAGATGCAAAAATTAGTCTTGATTTCCATCACAAGAGAGAAGAACATCCAGAGAAATGTAGGTCGCGAGCAAAAAACTATATGTGGTATGGTGTGTTAGGATCTAAACAGTGGTTGCAGAAAACATACAAAAATCTCGAACAAAGGGTGCAACTAGAATGTGATGGTCAACGGATACCATTACCTTCTTTACAAGGAATTGTTGTATTAAACATTCCAAGGTATATAAATAAAAGTAAAGAATATATTTTTATAAATTATTTCAACTAAGAAAGCAATATTTCTCTTAGTTTTATGGGTGGTACGAATTTTTGGGGAGGCACAAAGGAAGGAGACTTGTTTTTAGCACCCTCGTTTGATGACCGTATATTGGAAGTTGTAGCTGTATTTGGTTCTGTTCAAATGGCTGCGTCAAGACTTATTAATTTGCAACACCACAGAATTGCACAGTGTCAAACTGTTCAAATTAACATTTTGGGTGACGAAGGAGTACCTATACAAGTTGACGGCGAAGCTTGGATTCAACCGCCTGGAATTATACGTATCATACACAAAAATCGTATGCAAATGCTTTATAGAAACAGGGTGAGCAAAATAATTTAATACTGTTTAATAATGAATTTTCATTATTACGTAAACATGATTTCTATATTTTTAGGCTCTTGAAACATCCTTGAAAACATGGGAAGAAAAACAGCGTAGTACACTTACTGCGATGTCTCAGTCAACATCTACTTTAAGCAGTGCACAATTACAGTCACAATCCAAGTCTAGTTTATTGGTACACGGTAAGCCATCGCATCTGAACGACGAAGAAATGTACATTTTGCTTGGATTCATTGAAGTGGTTACAACTTTGGTTAAATGGGTAAAACTGCTTATTATATCGCATCCAAGCTTAGAACCAGATTTATATCAGGTTGCAACTCGAACTGATCAGGCACTTGAACAAGTGCATCCAGATGGAAAAATTTTACAGGTTGAAATTTTTATTATATTATAATCTATTAACAATTACGAAATGCATATAATTGTATTTAGATTGTATTTAAAATTTTTTATTGTTGAATTTATTTTTTGAAATGATAGATATTAAACATTTATCAATTCGTTTTTATTAAACGTTTCAATCAAATATTTGTATTACAAGTAAAATTATTATTAAGTAAATAACATATTTTACTAGACCAATCTGAGACCAGTTGTAACAGAGTTGGTTTCAAGCGCAAGACAACTTTATGAAGACTCGTGCGAATTACTTAGAGATAAAGCACATAACTTAGTAAGTATTTTGCATTTTATTGCTTTAACTATTTACTTCGTTATTAAAAATTCAATTTAAATGATGCAGAGATTACGAGAAGATTTAGAAAATAAATTATCCTTTTCTTTGGCCAATATGGAACAAGAATTAAAAAAATGTACATTTGATGAAGGAGGTACAGGATTAGTATATTTACAAAGTTTACCATCGGATGATCAGGTAACATTTTTAATTTCAAATATCTTTTTGATTTCGAAAATTAATGAAGCATTTCACTTAAATAGGGAGATAAAAAGAATCGGCACAGAGGTTTATTCTGGTTAAAATTCCGACGTTCGGGAGGTAATTCTGGAACACATCCAGCTCGGGATCAAGTTACTACATGGGGTGTTCAAGAAGTGTGCTCTTGGTTAGAGAATCTTCAGTTGGGTGAATACACTGACAAGTTCGTATCTCACGACATACGAGGTAGGGAATTGTTAACACTAGCTCGTAGAGATCTTAAGGAACTTGGCATTACTAAAGTAGGGCACGTTAAACGAATCTTACAAGCGATACATGATCTGAATAATTAAGTATACGACACGTATATAAACTTTCCAAATTATAAAAATACGATTAATACTTAACGTGTTATCACAGTTAAAGAGTATCTAAGAATACAAATTCATGTTAATACCATTGAAAAAAATACTTACTGCTGTTAAAGTAGTATACAAATCATTTAAATCACAAGGTGATATAGACACGATATAATGAAAAGTTTTATGTAATTATAAAAGTCACAACATAGATATTCTAATACAAAAAGACACTTAGCGTGGTACAGCAGTGTTATATGAAAATTATATTTTATGCTGTTACGTATGAAATATTTGATATTATTGTGCCAAACTATTGACGTGACTCTTTCTCAGAAATCAAAAAACGGTGAAGAACCTAATAAATAGAAAACACTTCATTTTTAATAATAGTATATTACAACACAGAATATTACTAAAAATAATAAACACAACATCGATAATGCATTTAACAATCAAATAAGATTCGAACAACATAAAAGTCTTGTTAAGTTATATAATTTAGTTATATTTGTTGCTTTATACATTATACAACAATTAAAGACGTTAGAATTATATTAATGTATATTACATTTAAGTTGGAAAAATTTGATAAATATTACGATTTTATGTTTCATAGTACGATACTAAGTTTAATTGGAACAGTATTATTATATTCAAGGGTTACATTGTATGTAATTTGTAGAGACTGTATCCCATTGTTCAATTATATTTTACTTTTATCTTAATTTCATACAGTAAAGGGTAGGCATGTTTATGTATATGTAATTAATTAAGCACATACTTATATATTACAACTGCACTATACAATTTTTATATTTGACAAGTTTTTTACGTTTACGATTCCTTGAGTTTAAGTTATATGCATGTAAAATCATGCTGAACTAAAGGGATATTGAAATCTTGCACAATATGTATATATACTTATGCGTCAGTACAAAGTTTACTATTTCCAGTGGGTTCCTAAAGTATTACATTCAAAGTTTTTAATATTTCTGTATTTTTTTCAGTATGTATATTTATAAAATAGTTTTCATCTTCAAGTTTTTATAAATATTAACATTTTATATCCAATAATAAATATGTATATAGATTTTAAGAATGATTTATAAATTTTGAATACTAACAAAACGGCAACATTAATAATAATCACTGAAATATGATGCAATAACAATCTTTGTTTACACTCTGAAAAATAATGCGTAACATGTTTAAAATTGTTATTATGCAAATTGAGAAGATTGTCACCATATTCTTTCATTATTTGTGCTTAATATGTTTTCATATATACTTTCAATTTGTGTAAAATTCTTTAATATTCATATTCATTTAAATATTTATTTGAAAAATATTATTTAATGAG